ATGAAAGCCTTATAAAACCATGGGACACAGGAAAAGTGTTCGAATTCTTACGAGCTGCACATCAAAGCACGCTTCAGAAGCAAATTTAAGAGACTGAAAATGCAGAAAAACCTTTCTATTGCTTTGTTCTGAGGCTTCCCAGGATACCTTCCTACTTAAACCGTTCCATCCCTTTGGGAAAAAACCCGCTCCATCACGTTAGCAGCAGTTCAGTGATGGAAATCCACCTCAAGGATGGAGAGTGGATCACTCTTCAATATTAAGGCAAGGTACAATAGTATGAATTTTGTATAGCTAGTAATAGCTTTGAACTGAAATGTGGTTCGCTTTGGCTCCTGGCCCCTAGGAGACCTTTACCTGACAGGCAGAAGTGCCTATAACCTCAGACCTCATGCAGATACTCTCCATCCCTACAGACTGCAATCACACCATCCTCTATCTACCTCCAGTCAGATATTTTGAACAGTCTGATGGGCTGACCAGGCTTCCTTGCTTTGTGACCTTTTCCTTGCATCCGTGATAATTTACCTATAGGGCCCCAATTTTAATTTGCAGACTTTCTTCAGTAACAGTGGGATGCCAGGGGGATATCCTGGGATATCTAAGACAGCACTGGAGACTTCGATGTAGTCAACTGTCCTGCCTTGGAGCCATGTGTCTCCCCATGAGGTAGGCACCTTGGTTTTTCTATGAGTTAATGGGGAACGATAAGCACTCGTGCATGGGTGTATCTCATTTTAAAATAGATGGTTAAAACAGTCTCAATGAATCACATGTCAGAAACACTTTTTTTTCTCCGTATTGATGGAAAGATGATTTGGTAGAAGCAGATGGCTATAGGAAAGACATTTGTGTCTGGCCAGCTAAATCCCACCCAGGGCTCTACAACAACTACTGCTATCACTATGACTACGTGGGGTGAGAGCCCTGAGCACCCCAGATGCTATAAAGGGCATTTGCCCTTTCCAAACTGCTGACTGTGTATGTGGGTAGGACATGTTACAGGTCCTTTCTTTTTCACAGAACCAAAGAAATTAAACCCCAGAGCCCTAGATGCATCCTGACGTCATTTCAGACATTTATCAGAGATGGCCAAGATCACCTCCTGCTACAGTTGGTGGAATTAACTTAAGTGACAGAGCCCCGGCCCAGGCTGCCCAGGGGGGCTGTGGAGTCTCCTTCTCTGGAGATCTTCAACCCCCGCCTGGACGCTGTCCTGTGCCCCCTGCTCTGGGTGAGCCTGCTTGAGCAGGGGGGTGGCACTGGATGATCTCCCAAGGTCCTTTCCAACCCCTGCCATTCTGGGATTCTGGGTTTCTGTGAATTACCAATACCTTCAGCCCATGGCTCAGATCAGCCCTATGCCAGGGACGGTGTAGGGCACGGTGAAGCTAAACTGGAACCATCCCACTGCTTGTTTGTGGCCACACAATGATTCCTTCTCCTGAAAGTCAGGCCAGGGACTGGGCGCCCCTTCATCTGCTGTTGACCTGAACTGTATGTGAACTGTGGCTTTCAGCTGAACACACTCTGTCCTAATCACCGCAGTGCCGAGCTACCCCCACAGACCTCCTTTGCAGAAACTCTCTGAAATATAATTGGGCCATTTACTGAATTTTGTCTGGATAGGCAAGGCACTGAAGAGGCATTTGCTTTGTGAGTCCCTTATACTCTAATTATTGTTCAAGTTACGATTGCATCAGAGCCCAACAAAAGATGCTTAAGAAAGCAAGGAATTAGACATCAATTGTGGTTCATGGGGTCATGGAAGAAATGTAGCACACAAAAAAAATAACACATAGGCCATCTCTAGTGTCTGTTCTTTAGCACTTGTACCCCATGAACATCCATTAATGCTAATGTTTATGACTAAATAGAACTATAAGTCAATTACAGATCCTGTTAGTGTTAATTCACAGTCAATCTATATTTGTCTGCAGAACTGCTAGGGAATTGGTATACAATAGATTTTTCTTTTTAAGTGAATGGATTTTTTTTTTTTAAAGTACAAATACTCGGGAGCTCTGCTATTCAATCTCCTTGAGTTATTAGAGGAATATGGTCAGTGATCCACAAATTAGTCATGTCTGTATGTCGTATGATGGCAGCTGGTGAAATGTCTGAGCCTTTCTGCATCTACACCAGCTTGTTCCCTGGCCAGGGGTCTCTGCCTTGCCTGTGCTGCTGTTCCTTCCTGGCCTCTAAACTGGGGTGCCAGGATCCAAAGTGATTATTGTGGGTGGCTCCTGACCCATGCAAACACTTGAGCTGTGTCTGGGAACCATTCAGGAGACAACTGGTTGGTACAGACCAAAACCGTGCCCAGGATTGCTCTACCTCCTTGACAGCACTGACTTTGTAAAGGCATTTTGAAATCTAGCCTCATTGTTATTTGACACAAACCCCATAAACTTTACGGCAAAGAGTAGTGCAAGAGAGATTGCACTGTCTACAGTGTGTGTTGCTGTCTTCCCCGGGGCAGATGAATTGGGTGTCCAGTGGTCCATGTTGCAGAGCAAGCATCAGATTTGGGCCTGGCCTTCAAATTCATTACCAGGCAGCCTACCATGGGCAAGCCACCAGATTTCCAAACGGGCCTAGCGAGGCTGTGCCCTACCTGACTTTAATCGGTGCTTCCCAGCAAACCATCCATCAGCAAAATGCTTCCCCTCCAGCAAGTTAGCAAATTCTGATGAAAAGTCATATCACCCATTTCTCTCCTGAAGAGCCCCACTTCCAGCTGAGGGTATGGTTTTGTCTTGCTCTTGTTATTCCAGGTTGCAAGACATTTCTGCCTGGTCAAGCTTCCACTAAAAGTGGGCAGTTGCTGGCTCATGGCCATTATCTCACACTCAATCATTGTGTACTTCACTGCTTGGAAAGCCTACATTTCTACTTCATTTCTCAGATGACTCTAACATTATTGTAGATCAAAATAGCACCCTCATCAGCTTTCTGAATACAGGAGATTCATTTTGCTGGGTGCAAGTGCTCTTGCTGTTTCACCAGCCTAATTCAGCCGCAGAACTTAAGGCTGGGCTGGGAAATGCATTCTTTAATCATGTTAATGTTATCCTGTGGCAGTTTTCTTTTTAAATTTTTTGATTGAATTTAATGGAGGTGAAAGTCACGAGATGGATGGTTTCAGAGGCAGATGCTCTCCAGCTAATCAAAAAATGATTCTGCAAGGCAAAGCTTCCCCTCCACTGCCCAGCTACGGGCCCAGATCGTGATGGCTTTGCAGTCCACAATCCTTGTACCCGCTGCCTTTGCCTAAAGGGCAGGGGATCTCTTGCTGGCCTGCGTGTTGATTTAGTTCCCTCAATGAATAATTCCTACAGGATGAAGCTGTACATACATGTGTCTGCCCATCTGCCCCTTGCAAACACATGCACACGTCTAAGAAAACCCTTGCCCAGTAGAGGACGGAGACCTTAATCCTGAAACGAAGGCTGCAGGGAGAGCTCAGTCCCTACCAGGCACTCAGAGGAGGGGTTGAAGGTTGGATGTTATGAAAGAAAAGGTGGGTTTTGGCTTTCAGACTTTGTTTGACATCAGGACAGCGATCCTGCGGACAGAGTATGTTCTGAGGGCACAAGTTCTGAGCGAGGTTTTCCCATATCTGGGTGTTTGTGTCAGCTCTCTCCCCTTAGCAGTCCCTGATATCAAGTACTGCTTGAACCCTAATATTTAGCTTCAGAAGTCCATCATGCTACGTCACTAACTAATTGCAATAAGATGCAGCTAGTTCTGGCAGCCACAGACCAACCTGCCACCTTATCAAAGGACATTTGTATCAGACCCAAGACCTCACATGAGAAAGGTTTCTAACAGCTAGTTCTGGCAGCCACAGACCAACCTGCCATCTTATCAAAGGACATCTGTATCAGAGCCAAGACCTCACATGAGAAAGGTTTCTAATCATAGAATCATAGAATCATAGAATGTTTTGGGTTGGAAGGGACCACTAGAGGTCATCGAGTCCAACCCCCCTGCAGTCAGCAGGGACACCGCCAACTAGATCAGGTTGCTCAGAGCCCCATCCAACCTGGCCTTGAATGTTTCCAGGGATGGGGCCTCCACTCACTCTCTGGGCAACCTGTTCCAGTGGTTTACCACCCTCATTGTAAAGAATTTTTTCCTTATATCTAGCCTAAACCTACCCCGATTTAGTTTAAAACCATTACCCCTTGTCCTAACACAGCTGGCCCTACTAAAAAGGTTTTCCCCCTCTTTCCTATAGGCCCCCTTTAGGTACTGAAAGGCCGCAATCAGGTCTCCCCGCAGCCTTCTTTTCTCTAGACTGTTCTTTTCTCTAGACTATTCAAGTTAAATATACCTGGACTCAATTTCTGATCCAATTCTTTTGCTTTGACCCTCCTGACAAAATTCCATGTCTCCTTTCAGTATTTAACCTGGCAGTAGAGCAGCACTGCCCAGGCAGGGCTGAGGGGACCCCAGGCAGGAGGAGGATGCAGCCCATGCTGTGCTGAGCCCACTTCGCAGGGACACCAGACCTCTCCTTCCATTGCTCCCACCACTGCACAGCTTGGCCACAGCAAACACTGGGTTTTTAAACTGCTGTGAGGTAAAAGTCCAAATTCCTCTGCCCAGAGCCATCCAAAACTGCCTCCAATCCAAGGGGACTTGTTGGCAACCACCCTTTTCCCTTGCCCCCCTTTTAACTCCTGTTTCTCTCTCTGCAAGGAGGGAATCAGGGCAGGGGGGAGAGCGTTAAGGAGAGGCCCATCTGCTCAACAAGGTGTTTAATTTCCAGCACCACCACTTCTTTCCAACCCCAAGAGTCCCAAGGCCAATATGCCTTTGCAGGTAGTTCCGTGGCCCCTGGGCATCCTGGCCTGGCCTCCTGCAGAGAAGCTTTATCAACCCCAGGAAGCCATGGGAAGGATTGATGTTCATTCCTGACGTGAAGGACCTTCTCCTCCAGTGTCTCTGTGCCCCCATGGCAGCGTGGCCATCCGGGAGCCTGTTGACTTTACCTGGCAGGTGCCTTTTTCTCCTCTCTCCAGCTCAGCACACAGCACGTTCTCCACTAGCTGTGGGATCCGCTCCAAGCACTGTTCCCTGCTGATGAGCTTCATCCGCGCTTTCTGCAGCACGTGGGATGCTGGCACCGCAACCGCTAACCAGCAAGTGAGAAGAGAACGATTAACAAACCCTGCAGAACAGTGCAGATCTGTAAGGGTGAAACCACAGCTGGAGAGCAGTCCTTGGGACGGCTCCTGGCTGAATTTGTAAGGTATCTCAGGGCAAGAGGGTCTCAGGGTGCAACCCTATGGTCTTGGGGTCATGGGGGCTTACAAGGGCTGTCCAAATGTTAGCAAAGATAAGTTTGTGCTCTTGACTTTATGCCAGCTTAGGAGGTGGGTAGGTAGGTAGAGAGGGGGGAGGTGTTAACAGGCAAAGCTGAAATCCTGGGAAGTCGAGGCTTGCTAAATAGGATTTTAAAAAATCATTTTTTAGATGAACTCTGGGATGCAGTACAGCTGGCAGATCCCAAAGGGATGGCTTAGCCTGTTGGTCTTGGTGATGACCTGAGATGAGCTGCACTGCACACCTTGGGTTTCTCACTCATGTTTCTGGGGAACTCCAGTTTGAGGGACCTTTCATGGGGTCCTGCGAGAGCCCTGCAGAGGAAAAGTCCACTGAGCTTTCCCCAGAACAGATCTTGTTATCGCCATGCTCTCAGGGGGGGCTGTGAGGCCATGCCTCACCCAGGGAGCCAGCTGTATCTTTCACAAAGTGTCTCTCGGGATGGCAGTACACGATGGAAATAACTGCTTTATTCTTCCCTTGAGATGGAAAAAAAACAAGAAATCTCAGCAGGCAACAGTAAGCGACAAAAAGACTGAAAATATGCGGGGCTGCTTGGAAAAGCCACTCGTTTCACCCATGTTTCTCCTCAAAGTGAACCTCAGTCTGAAGGCTAAAACTGACTTTTAGAGGTTGTTGCTGCTGAGGAGGAGACCTACAGATTTTCGGACACTCATTCCTTCTTCCATATTTCACTGAGCTAAATCCTTCCAGCACCTTCGGGAAGGCAGGACTCAAAGGTAAGTTTTAAAAGATAGAAAGGTGTCAGGTGCCTTTTGCAGCTAAGATGGAGCCACTCCATGGAAGCATTCACAGATTAAAATGCTTTGATGTAGGCATCTCTGAGGAGGTGGCTCCACCTGAAGTCTAACTGACTGCAGTCATAGAATCGTTTATGTTGGAAAAGCCCTTTAAAATCACCAAGCCCAACCATTCCCCTACCCCTGCCATCCCACCCCCAAACCCCGGCCCTCAGCACCACCTCTGCCCGGCTTTTAAATCCCCCCAGGGCTGGCAACTTGACCCCTTCCCTGGGCAGCCCCTTCCAGTGCCTGACAGCCC